AGGAACCGAAAGAGAAAGAGTGACAGAAAGAAAGGGAAAGGATAAGAAAAAGAGAACTGGAGTCAGGTTGAGTAGTAAGGCTGCGGATCGTCTTTCCACCCACGATTGATCTGTTTGTCAATTGGGCGGCGCCTTGTTGTCTTTCTCTCTTCCTCTTCTCTTTATCTCTATCTTCTATTCGTGCGTTGCCTTTCCTTCTCACTCGTGAGGATACCCTTTCACAATGCTCTTCATCCTACCCTACCGGTCGCTGCCTTTCGCACGTTTCCCAATAGGACGTGGACCGACGTCAAAAAAGACCTCTCTCATCCGGATAGCGAAGTGACAGTCACGTCTCTCAGTCGTACGTTCTGTGCATATGGATTGCCTAGCGCGACCTTCTCTTCAAGGATAATCGAGAATCGTTGTCATCTCGTTACAGCTCGCCGTATAGAGAAAAGATCTTATCGAAGTCGTTTTCATCTCCTCGCGCCCAGATTCATCTACACCCTTCTCTCGAAACCATCCTTTTCCTATCTTTAACACACAACCTTTTAACCACGACAACGAAAGAAAAATTGCTGATTGCTTTATACTATTTCCTTAACACGGTATTTCGTTGGACTCTTTTGTCGTATTGCTCAAAAGTGCGATGTTACTTTGAGAGAAGAATAATTGTAATTGCTATTAATTATAATTCATAATTAATTATAATTCATATTAATTATTTTCAGTATCAATTATTGTTATTTTTTGGTAGAATCGTACAAATAATTATTATTACTAACATTATAATACTAATAATTATAAAAATGAAACTGTTAATTATTTTACCATGCAATTATAAACACAAATATCAAATACTTTTCTTTTAGAGTGTGAGTGACTCTTCGTAATACGAGAAGTTCTTCGTAATATTGCCAATCAAATTACACAACTCTGGACACCGTATTAATAAAAAAAACTAATTATAAGTAGAAATTAAATCGATAAAATTTAATCAAATAAGAGAAAATATTCTGTTTTTTTAGTCCAAGTGGATTTTACTTTTTCATAATATTTATACAGAATGAATACATTTTTCAGTTTTATAAACGGTATGCTCATTCGATTTATCGGACTGTAATCATAAAATGAAATTGAAAATCACATCACATAAAATTACATTGATCATCAATTTAATAATGATGATCAATGTAATTATGTGATGTTATTTTCAACTTCAATTTATGATGATTACGTTTCAAGTCCAACTAATAAGCATCTTAAAAACTAATTGCAAAAAATATAATATCACCTCATCAAAGATTTAAACATTTAAACATTTTAAACCACTCGATAGTCAAATTGATAAAACACTCGTCCTCGAAAGTTGGGAGTTTTAGATAAAAATATTTTTGTAATAAATTCTTTGCAGTATTTTCAAATGCTTATTGGCATCATTATTAAATTGACGATGAATGTAATTTATGATGTTATTTCCAGCTTCATTACATGTTTACGATTACGTTACAACTCCTATAAAACGAACTGCGACATGCAGTTAATAAAATTGAAAAATATATTTGCTTTGCTATATGAATATTATAATATTAAATATCAAAATCTAAATTAAAAAAAGAAAATTTTCTTTCTTTTATTTAAAAGAAGTTATACAAAAATATAGCACGCTATAAGAATATTTTTATTTGTACGTAAGACTGTTTTCTTTGAATTTAAAAATATCATAACATAAATTAATAGTGTTCATATCTTGTGTAATATAAATATTACGTATTGTACGTGTGTAATAAATATTATTAAATTTAATTTAATAATTGCAAAGGAGGCGCTTTTTTTAAAAATAAAGCTAAATAAAAGTGTAATAAGAAATGAAATAATAAAAACATTCTCGCGTATTTTTTATTTTCACAGGTTTGACGCACCAGTTGTTCGCGAATGCGGCGTGTTTCTCGAGGTGACGGTAAGTCAAAGAACTCCGGTACGTCATTACACAATATTACTAGACGCAAAAGTCCAAAGGCACATATATACGAAACTTTTCTCATAAGAGCGTCGTGCAATTTTTTTAAAAGGGCTTTTCAATTTTCTCGCTATGTCGTTTCCAACTTTCACAGCACAGCTATTAAAGCGATACAAGATCGCTATTGATCAAATAGTAATCATCGATTGATCGTAAATAAAAAAATAGTTTGCGAGATTAGTATTTATAACTAAGTGTGCCAGAAAAGAAATTTTTAATAATAACAAACAAGGTACTAATCTAATTCATCTGTTTATCTCGTTGATTTTGTTCGTTGATTTGATTGAAAATTATAACATAACAATATATATATAACAATAAGTGAACGACCCTTACGAGCAAAACAATTAGATTTTAATAATTAAAGTATTATAATATTTAGATTTAATATAATCTTACATAAAACATCATACATGAAATTTTCAAACGTTTCGGCTACACAGAGCCTTCATCAGTGAATTACAATAAATTATTAACAATCGTTAATTTGATGGAACCATAAATTTCGGTAACAATTAATTTAGGATCTTGGAGTTTAAAATCTTCTTTTTGGTGTCCTTCTTCTTTTCAATCCCATAACAATCTCATCAATCAATTTAGTCATATTAAAATCCAAAATAGAATTTGATCGTATAGAATATATATATATATATATATATATATATATTTTCTATTTCAACTATATCTTAAAAGAATTTCAAATGAAATTCATGATTATCTCAAACAATTCGGGCTAGATCTATACATAGAAGCATCGATTACAATAGAGATTAGAAACCCGTTGCATTTAAAGATAGAGATTGCACAATTGTGCCCGAGAAGAATCGATATTCGAGATTTAGCCCGTTAACGCTTTCGATTACTAACACTTTCGATAGCTAAATGGCTTGGGAGAGCCAAACGCGGTTCGCCGTTTCCTCCTTCACTTAAAGCGCGGACTGGTTCGCACTTAAGCTCGTATAATTTTCGCACTAACTAGAGGAAGAAATTACCTCTCTGCACTGCTCATGCAAGTAAATTTGCACGCTCTGGCCACTCCTTTTCCAGCAACGCTCACTATTCACGATTTCCACCTGCACTACCAATATTCGATCCCAAAGTTGTCATCGAGGACAAGAACGCCCAAAAACTCGATTCCAACATTTTATCCAGTTTTCGCATTGCGAGAGAAGAATACGTAATATATACAAAAACTGACGTTACAAACTAGTTATCCTTCTTTCTTCATTTTTCGCCTTTTTCGTCGCGCTTCTGATTTTTCGTTGTGAATTTTACAGAAGACACACGCTGGAGGCTTGACGAACGTTCACCAACGTATGCTTTAATCGAATAGGACAACAAGGTTAACGCATAACTCAATTTTACATGCAAAACGCGCATCGATAATTTGCGAACGTGCTGCAAGGTTTACGCTTTAGAGAGTTAGTTAATCAGTTTGTTTCCGTTTCTACGTGGCTTTTGGAAAGATTTGAGTAAAATTGCTCCTCTTTAATTCACGAGGGGCTATGTACTCGCTTCTGTTAAATTTAAAAAAATATTGTGAGAGAAGTTTTATTTATTCCGAGAATCTCCGAAAACGCTTCGCTTTTCGTTCCCACGTGGAAAAAGGCAACGCGCGCAAGTAGTTGCGTGCTCGTAATGGTATCAGAAAACTCTGCTTTTGTCGGTTCGCGTAAATTTGTCACGAGGGTGTTAAGAAGAACGCTATCTACGTAGATTGCCCGCGCAGTTGAACATTCCGCGTGATAAACCACACCACAGGGGTGTAATTTACAGGAAGATGAAGTTACCGTCATGGGGGAGCCGATAGTGAACTAGGTTGTTGGCGTGTAGTTTGAGCAATAGTCTATGATAGGAGCGGTCCGAAACAGGACGTGCAACGAGAGCAACCAGGCGACCAAGTTTACGTAGCACCATAATCTCACTTGTTCAACAGATCACCGCTTTCGTGATTGCTTCGTGACTTTAGGCACGTTATCGGTTTCGCGATAACATGAGATCCGAAACAATTTCATCGACATCAAACATCGATGTAAAACAAAATGCCTTAAATGTTAATTTTTCTTCCTCCAGTTATTAAGCTTTTAATGCTACTCTGTGCAGAAGAAACAGTTTTTCTGAAGTATCTAAAAATTTAGCTAGATATAAATTTGAAAGAGAGAGAGAGAGAAAGAGTCTTACATTACATAACATTATTAAATAAATCAACTATCTCGTTTTTAACTACTAGATATAAAAATTTTAACCATTATTTTATTATAAGTACTGAAGAGGATCTTAATCATGGGTTAAAACATACATATAATTACGAGTATTAATATGTGATAAATCAATTTCCACAACAATTTCCTGCGTTAACTCATAAGACTTCTTAATCAAATAAAAACAATTTTTGTTGGTCTACCAAAATAATTATGCTCAAGTTAATTACTGAAATATCAAAATTGTTTGAGGTACTGCTGGAGTTTTTTATACAAATATTTTGCTGGACTAACAAAATTATTCAGGTCTGCATTTAGCTAAATTAGTCAGATCTGCATTTAGTTAAATTTCTAGATATTTCAGCAAAATTATTCTTTTAATAATGTTTTTCTATTATAACTTTTTCTCATTAATAAAGATACGTACATTTGTTTATATTCCTTAATGTTTTAATTAAAAATTTTTTTTCACAATGTGTTTATTTTTTTTAAAAAATACGAGCAATCAAATTGATAGATATGCCATACTTAAATATATTATTCTCATAGGGTGGCAGCGAAGAGTTAAATTTAAAGCAATTTTAAACAGCCATTTGTTTACATTTCGAATAATTGCAGATAATTCTACAGAAAATCAGTTTTCTAGTACCACCAAAAAAGAGGAATTTAGTTGCTAAGTTGTCAGCGTAGAGTAATGCGGTTTGCGAAATTCAAATGGAAAATGTACGTCCGGAAGCTGAGCGTTAGAACGTAACATAATTTCATTTTTCATCACAAAAGCGAGCTAAACATCTTACCCGTATTGTTAACCGGATGTCCGCCCCTCACCGGCCAGCCGACGGACGTGCTCGCTTTGGACGAGAAGCTGAAGTAGGCCAGGAACTGGGACCGTGTTGTGTTCTCGTTTATCCTGAAACACACGCATTTCACATGTTAGCGTCCACTTCGTATGCGCTCGTAACCAGCGCCGGCTTTTATGCGTTGCGCTTGCGACAATAAAAGAAAACGTTAGCGTGATAAATTACTACGAGTCTACCTACGTCGCGCGAGCCTGCCGTCCGCCTCGCTATGCGCCGACCTATGCTACGATCACGGTATTTACGACAGGATCTTGGCGTGCGGCAGGCAAATTTACGGATTCTTTCAAAGTGATATACAGCAAATAACCTGCAGAGGCCGATGTACTCGCGCAATTTATTGCGGTGTTGTTTTTGTCATCATTCTGCATACGGCTCGTAAATCACCGATGCGCTTTTATTGACGGGCCGCCCTTATCGGACGTGGCGCGGTTTCACCGATAGCCCGCCAATAAAAAGGGCCTTTCAAGCGGGCTTCAAGAAATTCGGCGGATATAAAACGAATAATTCGCGATGAATGTGCGGTGACGTTGCCATTTGCCAGCCATGATAAATCAACGATCGTTTATCTGTTTGCGTTATCCGCAATCTGCAAATGACACATTGAGAAAATTTCTGAGAAACATTTTGGAAAATCAGAAGATTCTTATCACATCAATCAAAATTCTGGTTACCTCAATTATAATTATAATAGAGTTTGTTACATCCGGCGCTCATTTTTCAGCTCAATTTTCGCCCCTGAATCTCCCGTCTCGCTCACACTCACTGTTATCGCGCCGTACGTTTCGCCTGCGCACCTGATTAACTCTGATTAGCGCCGCGCTATCGCGAGGGCACCACCTCCCGGGCGCTTCACGCCGATTAATTAATTAGTAAAATTCGCGTTTTTATGAACGCCACGATACAGCCGAGAGCATGGCGATACAGGATACTGGCTAGCGCATCTCGCGCAAAACTGCGATGAACTATCTCAAGTTAATTCAGCTCTTTTACCGAAATCATTAATTAATAGGCTGGCGTAACGAGAATACAAATTTACTGCACATCGCGCGATACTCGTTGATCCGCGTTGACAGGTAGGGCGAAAACCTATGTGGAAAAACCAAAGTTCGGTATGCGGCCTTATCACGGCGCCTCCGCGCTCGCTAGCAAAAATCCGCTTCGATACGATGTTTTGTGTAAATTCGAACTAGGATCTTACAAAGTATCGAAGCTGTACACCCATCAGGTAATGAGATATTAATTATTCACGAAAGTGATTTATTGCCCTTTTTTCCAGGAAATTCGGCATTTCCACACGCCGCGGCCACCAAGCTGGCCCTATATAATCGAGCGAAACATAGCTCTCCGATTCATTATTGTTCTATTTTTCGACAGTAATACGAAAAGTTATCACGAGCGAATCTAGCGAGTCTTTAAAGTCGTATACGATAAATTGATATTTGAGCAGCGTAACTCAATCGCGAGATACTCCGAAAGTACGCTACTAAGAGCCGAGAGTTGTAACAACACGAGCGTAAGTGTAATAATTAGCTAATTACTCAAATAATGCGCGTTCCGTCGTGTTCGACAAATTTTTATTTCCGCGATTTTTGCGCTCGTATCGTGCGTAGTACAATTCAATTAGATATTCAACTCGAAGCAAACAATTATTTAATTTCTTATTATTAAGTTAGTTTTTCTTATCCGGATAATTAATTCGCGGATTGTCGGTCTCTTTCTGTAGTTATTCTTTATTCTTTTTTTTGGATTATTCGCGAGTTACATTAATAAATTTATAATCATGGTCAAGTGAACAATGGTGAACCATCGTCTTTATTAACTGCTCCTTTCATTTTATTTTATTTTATTTTTTTTTTTGTGTATATATGCGAATGTGGGTGCGTGATCGAGTGAGTGCGAATCCGTCCCCCAGTGAGTAGTATTCCCCTCAACGATTTGGAATCAAGGGAACTGTGCGCCTCCCTCACGTGGCAGCCTTTTCCTCGCCCCCCTTTTTTTTTCGCTGCTACTCACTGGCCGTCGCGATCGGGAATTCGCCCGTTGTATTCGCGCATTCATTTTCGCCGGAATTCGCGCAACAAATAGTGTCTCGATTACTTCGCGTAATATTCGTGCACACGTCGCGTATCATAAGTAACGTTCGTCGCGATATCTCACCCCCAGTGAGTAGTATTCCCCTCAACGATTTGGAATCAAGGGAACTGTGCGTCTCCCTACGTGGCAGCCTTTTCCTCGCCCCCCCTTTTTTTTTTTGCGGCCGCTCCTCACTGGCCGTCGCGATCGGGAATTCGCCCGTTGTATTCGCGCATTCCTTTTGCCGGAATTTCGCGCAACAAATAGCGTCGCAGTTATTTCGCGTGATATTCGTGTGGTCGTTTCGGAAAACGAGAGGAGACGTTCGCCGCGGTACCTCTCCTCCGGTGAGTAGTATCCCCCTCAACGATTTGAAATCAAGGGAACTGTGCGCCTCCCTACGTGGCAGCCTTTTCCTCGCCCCCTTTTTTTTCTTTTTCTCGTTGCTACTCACTGGCCGTCGCGAAACCAAACTCAGCCGCGATATTCAGACGTCCATTCCAGGAACGTAATTTAATCTACATTCTTCTATATTTACTCCCTCTTAAGTTCTCGCGCTTCCTCTTTAAGCATATTAATCACGGATACAAGCGTATTTATATCCCCACTTGTTTTCCCACTTAACCGCAATGGCGAATACTTATCCTACAGGTTATGGGCTGCACCCGAAGGGGGTGTAGAGCGGGGTGGCAGGCCCAGAAGAGGAGGCTCTGGGCTCAGTTCGCCGGGTCGGGCGAGTTCGACGGGTCCGCGTTCCCTTTGGAACCGAATCCTCCAGGGCCGTTGCGTCCGATCGTGGAGACGACTGCCAGGACTCCTCCTCCTCCTCCGCCTCCGCGTCTCCGGGTCTCGGACCCACCTACCGTGTCGAGGCGCCCGAAGCCTCCGGACGCGGATTCGGCGGCCCCGGTCAGGATTCGGTCAGATTAACAGAGTTAACAAACAAATTCTGATTTGCGATTCATTTTCAGCAAGAATGCCAATTAATACAACCAGATTCTTTTTCAACGTTTCTTGATTTATCGTAATAACCCAAATTTTTTGACATATTTTGTAATAGCTCAAAATAGTACAATAAAATAAAAGATAAATATAATTAATAAATAATCTTTGTATTTATAATATTAATAATCTTTCATTTTTTTTCTTATATACGTGACATAATTGCACAAATTCCTTGCTTAATCCTTCTGCAATCTGAATTTCTTTTTGGCATGCGAAACTTCACTTTCAAATTTTCCTGAAATAAAGGAGAACAAAATCCAATTTCCCCTATTAAAATAACCGAGAAAATGATTTGGTATTTTATTTATAATAGAGATGTTGAAAAGTAACCTTGAATTTTTTCACGTTTTTTAAAAGTCTAGAACAGTAAAACTTCGATTGGATAAAATTACAAATAGAAGAAGCAAAAATATGATCGCAAACGAAAAATTAATTTTGATTATACAAAAAATTCTATTGATATCGAATTAATCTCTGAAATAATCTCGGAAATAATGAGGAACATAGCCGAGAGGCACTATTTTACAAACTTAGAACAAGACAATATTTGAAATCCGTGTCAATATGTCATTGCACAAAATGCAAACTCCGCACAAGGAATTCGGACAAACGAAAGTTTCGTTATTGCGAGCGGCTGTAAGCTCAGAAACTTTCTGGAACGAAGAGAGAAGTTGTATATATTTTCAACGCGAGGAGTCGCGTTTTCAAAGAGAGCGCGATGTTTCGTCGAGATTGATCAGACGTCGATCGGGAATCGAAGGGATCGTTTGTCGTGCTCGAAAGCTGTTTAGAAAGCAGGCAAAGTGTAGTGTTTCGTCGAATCGCCGAGTATCGATATCCCAACTTCGTCGCGAAGAAACTTCGCACTTTGTGAGAAACGTTGTGCATACGAATTTGTCCGCAGGCAAAGCGAAGCTTATCCTCGTCAAGGATTATAGAAAAGTGATGTTTCTTTCATTCCTTCACGAACAATCCAAGTTAAAAGTTTTAAGAATTTAATCAATATGTACGAAATTATATATACGTAAGCTCAATTATTAAATATTATAATAAAACATAAGACAAATTCTAAAATAATTTCTTTTGTATTTATTCTGTTGAATAATAAATAATTTTACACCAAAATTACTTTGAGTGTAAAATAAAATATAGAACGATCATACTTTGCGCCACTATTGTAACGCAGACTATAGTAATAGAAAATTTCGATAACAAGTTCCTAGTAAATAATTCGACGATTATTTTTTTAAGAATAAATCAATTATATTCAAATTATATTCACTATTTTTTTAAATACATGTAATAAATTAGTATTTCGTCTCAATATCTTGATGGTTTAATTATCCTAAAGCGTAATAAAACAAATGATAAAACTCAATATATTTTTAAATGTATTTTAAATGTATTGTTTTGTCTATACATGTTCAGCAATAAGTAAATTTATGTTAGCAGTAATTTATCTCGCAGATGCTCTTAATGATCTCTTACGTTTATCGACATCCTCTAATTTCCCATTCAAACTTCGTCTGGGAAGATCATGTCGACACGAACAACCGTTGCAATACCTGAGAAATCGGGTCCATCGCTAAGCCACAGTCAATTTACTGTCCCTGGACCAATTCTGCGAATACGGTCCGGGGATCGTGTCGAATGTAAGTTAGAAGCGGATGAGGAGAAGACGAGAAATGGACTTCGCGTAGCACAGAGGGGGAGAGAGAATGCTATCGCGGTAGAAGGCGCCTCTAATTCGATTATTTAGTTAGGTCAGGTTCGCTGTAGTTGGGTTAGCGTCAGCTGGGGCCAAAGGTTACTCGAAGGCACTCGTAACTCCTAATTGTATTTACTTACAATAAATCTTCTACCCTCGTCTATCCTGTATTTGATTAGCGGCCAATCTAGTAGCTACCCCTTCACGATGCGTTCCGAAACTTGCGACGTTTCTAGGTGCCAATAATATCACTGACATTTATGG